AGGACCTCCGGGTGTGCAGCCGTACATGATAGCCACTACACCACCGAGGCAGTATTATATTATGTGCTTTAAGCACTTACGTCGAACAATTGCCTGACCGTACGTGGTAATAGCCCTATTATGCTACTACGTGATGTGGCATTATCATTGGGGAAAGCAAATATTCTAAAGTAGGTATCGATCACACATCCGTATCTCGATTATAAATATATTTCTAGTTATTATAAAAACAAATAATATCGATGTCTGCACATCAATTAAATATGGGTCGAATTTCATAATTGAACGTCGATGATTCAATTAGCACTTAAAATTTGTTTGATTTATTTTTTTTAAACTTAATTACGTAAAGCATTTGCATAGCATATATATTTTAAATATTTTAATGTTTTGTTTGTGAACGAAAATTACAATAGGATGCAATTAAGCTTACTTATATATACCTTTAACGGAAGTTAGTTTTTTTTTATTATACGTATTTGACGCTTTTTGTATTACTTTAAAGGTTAATTGTTAAGTTCAAGTACATCGATAAACAAACGTGTTAATTTCATTGTTATACAATTAAAAGTCATGGAAACTTCAAGATATTATATTATACTAGCATTGCCCGCGGCTCCGCCCGCGTTCAGATGACCAAAAACTAAAGTCTTAGGTTTTACATATTAGTATAATCCGGATAACCAGCTATCACCATACCAAATTTCATCAAAATCCCTCCAGTGGTTTTTCTGTGATGCGGTAACAGACAGACAGACAAAAATTCTAAAAACCATAGATTCGGCCTCTATCGATAATACTCACTATTTCATTAAGATTTTCCAAAAAATATTTAATATACAGATTCGACTTAGTTTGAATTTTATTATATGTATAGATTTAATCTTCTATTAAAATCTCAATTATTGAAACAAACATGCAAAACTTAAAAAAAGTATTGAAATGAAATTGACTTAATTAAATTATTAAATGCAGAACTACTAGTAGGTATTAATTATTGTAAAAAATGAGTACAAACAGGATTACAATTACGGAATCTTTTAATCAATGCAACTAAAACCACAAATCGTTTTACTGAGTTTCTTTAGATAGAGAGTGAGAGAGCATTGTGAGAGCGATACTCAAACCTAAACCTTCATTTTAACCCTCTACCAATAAAAGCATTTATGCTTCATATAAGCTGTCCTTCATCAATTATATTTAAAAAAAAATCTGTTTGTTTTTTTTACATTTTTCATTCCCTCTATTAACCCATTCCTATACTACTTATCTGATTGCAAAGAAATTTTGATTTACCCGTGAAAGTTCTATCACAGCATCATTTAAGAATAACTCTACACCTAAGCAAAGTCAGAATGGGTCACTGTTATATTAAATATGGCTATATTGAAATATGTTTTTGTCTGTCTGTTTAAAATTGGTGACATACGAGGACAGTGACATTCTCGCATTGTTTAAGTTTCATAATACGCTGTACAATAAGCCATTTGATACCAGTGGAAAATTTACAGCACTTCTTGAAATAACTGTAAATTCAACAAAAACAATTTAAAAATGAAACTGTGACCAAATTGCTCATCTTATACAACCACACGTTTCTTGTCTGTCAACGTTTTAAATACTACATGCCATATATGGCATAATGAACGTCAAGCGACAATTTAAAATATAGACTCACTCGGTGAACAAAAACTTGGTACTTAAGTAATATCTTTTGTCTTTCATAATTTGAACGTCCGTATTGTTTTCGAATGCCCTTTTAGAGAACAATTATACATACATACATGTAGGCCGCCATTCATAATACTTTCCACCCCCATTACCAACCTTACCATATTCGTTATACCTGATTGGATAAATTTTGGTACTCAGACTAAGCCCACGCTAAAATAAAATTTATATCATTTTCGTACACATTTCCCATCACTCATTTACGGATAAGGCAAATTAGATATAATATGACAGATAATTGGTAAAATATGACAAGTTTCGTGGCAAATTGGAATATAACTGACATTACTAGTTGCGTCGGCATATGTTTTCATTTCACATCGTAATTTATTATAATAAAAATCTCGCTAAGACAAAGTCAAATAAAAACTCAAAAAATAAAAACAAATACAACATATTTTTCATGATATCTAAGTATTATAATATAATAAATACGTTGTCGTAAATGTAAATGTTTGTTTGTGAAATATGTAATATTTTTGTATGTAGAATCTGCGGCACATTAACTTATACCTGTCCCGTTCAATCCTGAAAAATTGGTACCTTTCTTTTTACGTCCTTACGTGGGCGAAATGGCTAAAAGCTAGAATTATATCTATACATATAATAAAAGTGTAACTAATCGCTGTCTGTACATGAAAAATAATTGAGAAAAACTATCATTGGGGGTCTTTATTTACGCAATAAAACACAAAACAATGATTTGTAGAATTTTTGTCGGTTTGTCTGTGCGTTTGCGCACGCTAATCTCAGAAACGGCTTAACTGATTCGGATGCGGTTTTCATTAATATATTGTGGTAAGCTTCACTTAACAGTTAATATTTGTTTTATTTCAATAAGTTCGTAAATAAAAAAGTTACGTCAACTTAAAGAATCCCCTAGCGACGAACCCAAACGGAGCGAGGGTGAGTCGCTAGTGTAATAATGATTGTTCTATTTGAACTTAACACAACATTCTTATTTATATTTATACCATAATAAAACAAAACATGTAAAAAAGCCTTTGTCTTCGTCATCTTTAAAGAATTTCAGTATTAATAATGACGAAATTCTGTATTCTTTTACTATATTAAAAAAGTAAGAATTTTAGATATTGAGCGCCAATTATGTACATCTAAATGATAAATAGATTTGAATAGCTGTGAGTCATGTCTGTTGATAAATTTATCTACACACATTAAATGAAAATCGCATATTGATGATGTCAACTTCGCAGTATTACTTTTAAAACGATAGAAATAGTTTTTTTTTCTTCTTTAACAGTGACATTTTTAAGCTTTAAATATTCAACAAGAATGTTAAAAAAAATAAAAGATAAGGTAAATGTATGATACAAGGATAAAGATACTAAGATGAATATGTGTTTGCTATTAATTTAATTTAAGAATGCTTTTCTTGAAAACTGTTGGACTCTAGTGGTAGAACATACGTCTATATACTGACTATTCCTCCAGAGGTCGTAGGTTTGGTTCTAATGCTGAATGTTTTATGATTAAACAACTATTGATCTATGTTTAAGAAAAAGTGGGGATTTAGTTTATGAGAACAGCATTGTCTGATTATTTGGGAAAAGTTCGTTCATACTGAAAGAAGTCACGATAAATTCTGTGTCCGTTATGGATGTGATCGTTAGAGAAATTGTAGTGCATGTACAACATTTTCCTTTTACTAATCTAAGGGTTAGTGTTTACTGATTACGTAACGAATTTAAATAGATACTTTCAATAACGCTTGCACAATAAGATCGATATTAGCATTCTGTACAAGTCTGGTCGAAGCTTAAGTTTATTTACCTTCTTTTTTAATTATTAATTTTTGGTGGAATGTGGATTTTATTACAACATATTTTTTCCTGTGTTTTATACGATGCCAGCCACTGCCTTTATATTTTAAACGTAAGTTGACATTAAATCTAGATTTTTCTATTAACTCGCATCTCTTAGACCGTAACGACGTAATAAAATCAGATCGCGTGATTTAAGAAGGTAGTGTCGATTTTCTAAATTGCAATTCTGACTTCAATTATTATCACTGAGTCAATGTATGTATTCAGCCCTTTTTAACGTCCCACTGCTGGGGGCGGGCCTCCCTTCAGTACAAGAGGAATCAGGAAATAGTCCACCACGCTGGCCAATAGCGGGTTGGCGGACTTCACATGTCTTTCGAAAACTTGCTAGGTTCTCTCAGACACGCAGGTTTCCTCACGATGTTTTCCTTCACTATTAAGACAAGTGGTAATCATGTTGGAAATGATTCGCGCATGAAAATATCAGAGGTGCTACACGGGAGATTTCAGCTGAATTAATAATTTAAACCAAAAATAATCTATACAGTAAAATAACACTTAAATCAATCAAACAGATCACAGAAATAGCTTTATATTGAGATAAAAAGTTGTCGATATCACTCAGGAATCATATAGATTTGTACTTTAATTAAATTATTATTAGTTCCGGAATTTATCACTTACATATAAATCTATAAACATTACATCTTTACAATATTTGTAAAGAAAAAAAAACAATATACAATCAGGACAACCTCCCATTCTGTATTATTTATTATTATATACATAAGAGTATGTAGACTTTTATCGGTCGCATGTTTATTAAGGTTGTACTTTGTACGTTATTGGAAATAATCCAAGTTCGTGATCACGTTAGTAAACACGTCTTCTGCATGTTGAAATATAAAAAAAAATAATTACCATAAATTATATATCTTAGCTTTAGTATTAAATTAATGAAATTTTGTTTAATAAAAATAAAAAAGCTTTTATTTTTCCATTTTTAGTGCAGACATAGTAGTAGCAAAATTAGAGGAAAGTATTTTTAAAAATTCAGTAAAAAAAAAGTAAAAAAATTAATCATCGACATATTTTCTACGGTTGGGGTGGATTTTCATTTTTCAAATTTAAATGGGATCAACTTTGAGGTATATCCGAGCCAATAAAAAAACCATCGTAATCGAACGACACTGTAAAAAGTTACTCGTGGTCAGACATAAAAAGTAAAAATATACGCGGTGAATTGAGAATCTCCTCCTTTTTTTCGTCGGTTAAAAAAGTGAAATAAATAAAAATAAATTTTATTGCAAAATTACATGCCTAGAGCATGCATTAACATTATTCAATCAATAATTAGAGTAGGTAATATTTATTGAAAAGCTGAACAACAGTTATATTATTATTAAATTAACTTCTAACATCGAGAAATCACTTTAGTTTTTAAATAAGTTATTAATAGTCTAAAGTTATTTTTTATTACAGCTATAATTCTAGTGATGGGACTTCACGAACAGAACAAGGGTCCATGCAGCAAAATGGTTCAGGTGTAGCCGCATTATCCGTACACGGGGCCGTCCGCTGGTACAACGACAAGGGACACTTATACGAGATGACATACAAGGCAGGAAGAAGAGGCTATAGAACAATTATTAAGAAAATATCATAAATACCTTAAAAATAACGAAGAATAGAAATTATATCGTAATTTATTTGATACTTATTTATTAAACTAAATTATTATTAAATATTGATTTTCATTTGCTTTCCAAAAGAAAAAAGTCAATAAAGTAATAAAAACTATATCTTTTTATTTAATGATATATTGTTATATTTTTTAGGTGCTTTTCTCTCTATACTTGTTTTCATAATTCGAAAATAATAGTCTAATAACATTCTTATCTGTAATATATAAATATTAAAAATAAAATGCTGTTCGTTGTTTAAATGTCTCACATGAAAGCCGCTGAAATAATTTTTTATAAATTTTTTTTTAATATTTGTAACTGAATAAAGTTTTTAGGAGAATACATGTTACCCTGAAAACTGGGAAGTACTGTGGAAACTGGGAACTACTGGGAAGTACTGTGTTTAAATAACGCATGCAACATAAGTGCATTAGTCTATATATCAATATTACAGCTGCTTATCTATCTTTCTTACAGTATCTTTACAGCTTATTATCTATTCGGAGATTACTTCGGAGATTTAAATTTGAATTGAATTTACAAGATTATAATTTCAATTCAGAAACAAGTAAGAATTATTTTTATTTTAGCATCTAATATGTACACGTTTTACTTCATTTATTTTAACTATCACAGATCAAGCTTTAAATGTACCTACTTTATAGAAATATATATTTTATTATGAACAGTATACCAATGATATTTCCTATTGTAAATAAGTAACAGTCACCAATGAAAGCTTAGATTATTTTTAGTTTTAGATTAAGAAAATTGTTTAATTTTCAGAAACCTTGTACACGCCTAATGCCTATGTCAACGTGGCTTATGACACGCCATTTCATAATTTTTATGTTATCACCTGTCTTACTAACACACACTAACTCTCAATATATTTGAACATTTGTTGTAACTTTAACAAACAAACTATGTATTTAAGAGCACTATTTATTCACTTTTTATCATTCTCTTAGTATCGACAGCAGAAAATTTATACATCATGTTCGCTTTGGTAAGTACAAGAATTATTCTTCATATGTATAAATGTTAATTTTATAGGTCAAGTATGTAGATTTAGTTATTTTCACACATATCACTAAATATAGTCGAAATTTCAAATATAAATTCTATATTACAAAACTACATACAACTTTAACTTTTACTATTTATCCATATAACTTTACTATCCATGCATTAACACTCCTAACTATGTTGTAATAGTAACGATAATTTTATACTTCGTAACAGTCACTCCATAGTGCAGCTAAAAGTCTACTCACTAGCAAAACAATTTGATAATCACCAGCGCAAACTTTTTTGTAATTATTTAAAACTAGCTGACCAGACCAGAATCGTTTTGCTTGGAACCTTATAAATTCCTTAAAAAAATAAAAGGGGGAACCCCCTTTCAGTTTTACCCCAATATTTTTTCAGACAATTTTTTCAATACCTTTTCTTCTTCTTTTTGTTCTTCAACATTGGAAAGTGTAAAAAAGTCACTATATTATCTACAATAAAATTGATAGATAAGTATAAGATGTTGATACTAATTACACATAGCTTATAGCCGCAATTGAAAAACATATTTATTTATTTGAAAAAATTCGCTTCTATTTTATAGTGTAGGTCCATACCATATCCATCTATACATATAATAATATGGTAACTAAGCCAAATCTGTACATTAAACATTTTTTGGGAAATCTTATTGAAATAGACATTATTATCGATACATAGGCCGAATCTATAGTTTTTAGATTTTTTGTCTGTGTGTCTGTTTGTCTGTCTGTTACCGCATCACGGAAAAACCACTGGAGAGATTTGGATGATTTGGTATAATGGTAGCTGGTTATCCGGATATATATAGGATACTTTTTACTGCGGGAAAATATCCCATCTCTATACTAAACGTTAAAACGTAACTAGGAACGAACCCGAGCGGAGCAAGGGTGAGTTACTAGTTTTTATATAAATATCCAATATAATAGATAACAAACACAAAAATTGATTAGGTACACGGCTTAAAGAAATATAACATTATTTTCAGAAACTTTTTCTCTTTTCCGTCCTGGTGGTGTTGATAGCAGCTCAAGAAATCAAGCAACCTGCACAAATAGTATCCGAAAAAAATTTTGTTAATGCGAATGGATATAATTTCGAGTAAGTAATACCTATTTAGTGTTTACATAATTTATATATTTGTTCACTAAACAGCTATGCATTTTTTTTTCTTTATTACTAATGGGCAAAATGTTAAATAAAATTATATGTATATTAATAATATTATTTGGATACAGCAAAGGCACATATGAAAATTCTAGTTAGCACTCATTCGACACTGACGACACGTTTGACTCAGTGTGTAGTGACCCTACTTGCTGTGCTGGAGGTCGCGGGTTCGAGTCCCGCTGGGGGCATTCATTTGTGTGATGAGCACGAATGTTTATACTCCAGTCATGGGTGTATAATTTTATAATATGTATGTATTTAAAGTTATATATGTGTATTGTATCAACTATCTGATATCCATAACATAGGCCTCGTATCTTACCATGGAACTAGATGGTGCTGTGTGTTAATGTCTCAACATATTTAATTATTTATTCATAATATAGCATAAAACAAGGTATTTGTATATATCTGCATACAATAATAATTTGGAAATCAATTTTACTGCTTTAAAATATGTTTACGTTCAAAAGCCAAGGCTTACTTCTTACATATTTTAGAAATTAATGATAAAGTCTTCTAAGATTCTCGTACTCGTACAATAATTGAATTCTATCGTAAAATATTAACTATGAATGAGAATTATTTAAATGTTATTAAGGGTTTGTGGTTATTATATTTAATAGCTATGAATGAATTGAAAAGAATTACCAATTAAGATTACGGCTTATTTGAAAAAAAAACACATGTTGATACAGAGGAAGCTCTTTCGATTGTAGTCAAAAACTTCATTAGAAATTTTAAGCAGGCTTAGGACCAATACAAACATACATTATTACACAGTAGTGTAAGATTGCATTTTTATATATTGAGCGTTTTAATAGAAAATAATATATTTGATTAATTTGTAATGATTTATGTATAAGGCATTTACTTATGTGACCTTGGCCGATAGGAATCTGTTTTAAAAAAAATAGAAAAGGGCGCGGCTATTCATTTGTTTTCCCGCGCTTTTGATGTCGTTTGAGATGTCGGTACCACCCTGTAGGTTACTTGAACACTCACAGAATTTGTTTGTAATACTGAAAATTATGATTATAAATTATGTAACTCACTGACGTTTATAAAAGTACTGAATATAAGCAAGGAATATCTCGAAGTTTTATAAGGGACCCTACAGTAGTACAACTTACATACTTATCAAGTAAAGTAAAAAATAGGGTCGTATGGTTCACCATAAATTCAGGTATTTTAAGTCATCCATAACCAAATATTTATTTATAAAATAGATTCAAGACAAGTGATGGAGTGTCACGTCAAGAAGAAGCGCAACTTATCACTGTGGGAGATCACCAGGGTATTGGTGTAAAAGGCTCGTACTCATACACTGCTCCAGATGGCGTGCAATACCTCGTCTCTTTCACAGCAGATGACAAAGGCTTCAAGCCGCAAATACGTGTCGCATCACCAGAATAATCAATAAAATTATAAGATAAAATTTGGGTATTTTATTAAAAATATGTTTGTATATAATGACGACAAAAGTCTAAAATTTGTAAATTGTGATTAATTTATTGTATTTTTTTTTTGTCTTATTCTCTCACTTAAAATTGCAATTTGGTAAAACTGAAAGTTGAATCTACTTATTTTATAAATAAATTCTTTTGCTTAAATAAAACATTCGGAAATATTTTGAACGTCAATCCTGGTATATTTTTTTCTTAAAATGAAAATATAATAAAGAAAGGTGTCGAGACCCTTGGTCTGTGGGGTCCTAGCGCTATAAGACTTTTTAAGGAAATAGCAAAAAGGTTATTCGACGTCACAGGAGACCGAAGAGCTGGCAGCTACTTCGGACAGAGAATTAGTCTAGCTATTCAAAGGGGGAACGCTGCCAGTATCTTCGGAACCTTGCCTAAAGGGACTCCTTTTAATAATATTTTTTAGTTATTATATTATGTATACTAATTCTAACTGTATATAAATAATGTAAATTAATTTCTTATTTAATATACTTAACTATCTTTTATATATCATAAATTATATTAAATACACAATACAATGCAATTGTGCCACATGATCAAAGTAAAATATAATTAATTATTATGTAATCTGATATATCTATACATATAATAAAATTGTAACTAAGCCGAAACTGTACATTAAATATTTTATGGAAAATCTTATTGAAATAGACATTATTATCAATACAGAGGCCGAATCTATAGTTTTAAGAATTTTTGTCTGTCTGTCTGTCTGTTTATCTGTCTGTTACCGCATCACAGAAAAACCACTGAAGAGATTTTGATGAAATTTGGTATGATGATAGCTGGATATCCGATTCAACATATAGGATACTTTTACCGCGGGAAAATGTCTCTTTCGGAGAAAAAATACAAAAACTGCCATGTAAGAGTATACTAGTATGTAAAACCTAAGAATTTGGTTTTTGGTCATCTGAACGCAGGCGGAGCCGCGGGCTATGCTAGTTATTAATATAATTATTTAAGAAAATATATTTTTTATTATATAACCAGTTCACTCCTGGAGCTTTTTAAGGCCCCGTTGTTTCCAAGTTCATAACTTATCCAATTCTCCGCCAAGTCAACTTTGGGGATCTCATCTTTTTGCAAGCGTGTTAGTTCTCCTCTTAACTCCAGTTTTGCAAAAAATCAACAATAACTTAAATTTTACACATCTTCTACCGTAATAGGTATATAAGCTATAAGTTTTTTCATATTATAAATCGTAGATATTGGCTTGACTACCATTATCATGCCAACTTAAAAATAATTTGCTATTAATTATTCTTCTTTAAATAACTATCTTTAAACTAATAATTGTGCTTTTGATTATTAATTATACTTTATTAAAATTTCTATGTTACAACAGAATATTCATATAACATTCATCTCCTATCCCATGAAAACCCTTTATTATTCTGTCTTTGATAAAAAGAAGTAAATAATTTGCTTTAATACGTATAATAGTTATATTCACAGATAAATGATGATTATCGTATTTATTATTAAGTTAAATAAATATTAAAGTATTAAATTGATATTGAAAACGGTACCTAATTTACTTATTTCCTGACCTCAAACTACTGCAAATATAAGTATTTATTACAGAAATACCAATTTTTGAGATTTTTTGAATACATTCATAATATGTATTAAAAAAAATCTATACTAATTTCTTAGCAAATATATCCCTATTATCAAATTATTTTCTATACATAATGAAAAACTATGAGTTTTAAACTAAAAATAATCCGACTTCATCTATATAAATAAAAATGAATCACCGAAATGTATGTACGCGCATAACTTCCGATCGACTGCGCCAAATTGGATAATTCTTTTTTTGTGTTTGTTTTGTCAGAAAGTTTTTATAGAAGAAAATTAATAGATTTTTTTTTACTAAAATAAGATTTCTTTTAAATCACATGATATGGAAAGTGAGTGAGTGAAATAGTTTTTATCCCAGAAATCATCCCTTAAAGGGGTAAGAATGGGGATAAAAGTTTGCATAGGGAAGCTAACTAGGGACGAATCCGAGTGAAGCGAGAGTGAGTCACTAGTTTTTATCTATACAGATAAATAAAATTGAAGTGTCTGTTTGTAATGTCAAAATACCAACGTTTTTCTAAATGCATATCAAATTATATACGGTACTTATAAGAAAAAACACATTTTTTACATTTTTGTCTGTCTGTCTGTTTGTTATGAATAATCTCTGAAACAGCTGGGCTTATTTTGACAGGACTTTCACCGGAAGATAGCTGATGTTATAGGGACTAACAAAGGCTACTTTTATTTTAGAAAAAGAATTATAGCTCCGCTCAAAAATATCAAAACGTATCTAGGGACAAACCCGAGCGAAGCGATCGTGTATCGCTAGTATAAAATATAAATAAACATTAGAATAAACCTAAATAGTATAAAATAAATATATGAACATTTATTTAATTTATGATTCAATACAAGTATGTAAATCAATAATATATTCATTTTCCAGTAACTACAGTAAATTAAATATTATTTTTATAACAAGATTGGTATCAATGTTAAGCTATCCAAACACATACACGCATGCCATTTGATACTTTAAATTAATAAAATACCAGTTCGACGTAACAAAGTCTGTTTTAGATGCGGAAAAGGCATTAAAACAAAACTTCTCAGTTTTTATTTTTTAACTCTTGTTGTTAATTGTATTTCGTAATAATGTAATCAAAATAAAAGAATATAGTTAACTTATATATTGTTTATTCAAGAATTATGAAAGTTGTACTATATACAATGTACTTTTAGGTCTATTAAGTGTGAGATTAACATTGAATTATTTTTGGTGTTAGCTTATGTAGTTATTCGGTGGTTCATGGTGTTGAAGGCTAGGGTTGCGCTGGTTTATCTTCACCAGTGGTCTCGGAGGGTTGGTAACCATTTTTGTCGGCTAGAAAAGTCACTGAAATGTGTTGACCATCAGGTGCAATGTATTTATAGCTCCCTTTAACAGATAGTCCTTGTTGCTCAGTATCGTTCTTATATTCACCTTGCTCTTGTCTCGAGGTGCCATCGCTTGTCTCATATCTGTAACATAGAATTTATTATAAAAGTAGTTATTACCAGCAGCTTTTCCTAGCATTACGTTCATATTATGTAATTGCACCGCTCTTAAGGGTCGTACCATAAGATTAAATAGTCTATAGAATTCCCTTTTAAAAATAAAATAATATAACAATAAAAAATATTTAAATCGGACTGGTAGTTCCACAGATTAGCACGTTCAAACAAACAAAAAATAAACAAAATCTTTAATTTTATATATTATTATTACAGCTTTAACCTTGAGATAACAATAGAATATGATATAATAAAGCAACATCGGCTCAAATTTTGTCACTGACCCGATATGTTTATGGAAAATAATACATTGTTACGTAAGATTTTATTTTGAATGACCTCGTACGAAGATAGGTAGTTATCTAAAATTTACTAATACTTAATGCCGTAATAATTCTTTTATAATGAACGAGTTGCATGTTAAATGCATTTACATTTTATTGTACAAGGTATTATCGTATTGATGTTAAAGATAAAAAATACACATATGCAGTTTGTTTACCTTGTATTCTCTGGTGTTAATAAATATATGTACCTTCGAGTTTATTAACATGCTATGTTAAGTTCGATATTAAAAAAAACAATAGTAATCAGTTAAATTGTAAATGTGGTTTTAAAAATATATATTTATACATACTCAAAATTGTATCCATTGATGTTTACTTCAGAATCTTGCTTCACTATTTGGACAGGTTGCGCCTGCGGCTGGTCTTGAGGCAATGCAGCTACAAGAGCGATAGCAGCCAAAGTGAAAAGTGTCTGAAAATTAATTATAACATATTGTTAATAGAAAATGCCATTCATTTTGAAGAAAAGGTTTTCTATTTAAGATTACCTTAAATAGCTGAAAGGACAACTTTTGTTGTAAATTAATTTTCCTGAGAAATAAGATGTTAATGTGCTTTACTGTAATTTCCCAAAGCTAGCTTAATTTGAACTGTAACTTACAACAAGGTAAAATTGCTGTTTTATTGCATATATTTTATAGTAGATAGGCTTAATTTATTTTAATTTTTCTGAATGAAATTTTACATAAAACAAAGTAATAAATATTTATATTAACAAACAAAAGAAAACTTACAATTTTCATCATTTTGAAAGGCAATCTGAAAGTAAGTGTGGTCAGCTGAGCGAATCCCGAACGTTTATATTCTGAAGTCTCAGCCTGGGCTATAAATATCATTTTTATATTGACAATGCGTTTCGAGACTTCTTTGACATCAGAGGTGTTAATCACAATCATGCACACAATTTACTTAAGAAGACCTACAAAATGTACGAAGATTTGTCAATTGTATGAATTACGCACTGGTAGCGTGGATCGATCGTGCAAAGTTTAACCCACTTTTTACAAAGTTTCAGAATTTCTAAGAATCTCCTCAAATCTTCCAACACACATAATCTGACTTGTTAAATCAATAAATGCTCTTATGTAAATACAATAATAGATACATGTTTAAGAATGAACAATATATATGACTTATAAATAGTAAAAACGTAAAGATATAGTAACTTTGTAGCAGAAATAATATTAAAACAATACTATGTATGTACCTTGTGGAATATACCATATAATAAAATTTAGTATATACTTTTATAATAGCTCTTCTCGTATGTTTGCGTCATCATATTCTATGGAGGATATATTAATGGGTTGCAAGATATTGTAAATTAGTTTCTAATAATCATAAACTTCCCATAAAGATTTTAGCCGCAACAAAATTATACGTACATCTATTAAAATTTCTCAATAAATTTATTTTTGAGGTCTATGATGTATTTCTATAGTTGCAACTTTAAATAATTCTTATTGATATATTAATGATGAGTCAAAAAATTAAAGTTGAGTTAAAAAATTTAATGCGAGCCTTGAAAGATTGTGAACAATCGCAATGGACAAATTTTCATATAGACCATTTATTGCCTAGATAAAGGACAAAACTAAAAATGAAATTCTAATAGCTTAACATAATTAAACCTCGATATCACATTATTAGTTCTGGTTTAAGATATATATGGAAAAAATATAGTTATTATAAACTGTACTCTTTAACAACAAATCTGAGTAGAACTCTAGCTAAACTCATAACATTTATTATATTTCATCTAATACGAAATATTATATGAAATATGATTGATTTACATAGTTATATTATCTATACTATAATAAAAATGTAGAAGTTGAATGTCTGTACATAGAAAAAAATGCTAAAAACCGAGTCAGGGGGACGTAAGAAGACAAATAGAACAAATCCAGATTTTTTTTTAATTTTTTGTTTCTTTATCTGTTTGTCTGTTTGTACGGGCTTATCTCCGAATCTATAGGACCGATTAAAATGAAATTTTGCATGGTAGTACCTTATATCCCCGGGAAACATCTTAGACACTTTTCATCCCGAAAAATTATAGAGTTCCCGTGGGATAGTTAAAAAACTATAGTAACTTATACAACTTACTACACAACAACTTATGCACTGGAATTTGGTAAAATTTGGCATGCCTTATATTGCCAGTCAAACAACAGGTTACTTTTCTTCCCGGAAAAATGAACAGGATAGATCTCTTTGTTTTTCTAGAGGTGAACCCGAGCGAAGTGAGGGTGAGCCGCTAGTGTAATATAAACTTATTTACCTATGCCGCCCATAAAATTAATGTTATAAATGGGTAAATATTATTTTTTTATTATCGACATAACACATTACTAAGTTAAAACAAAGCATGCATTTTATGTTTCACGCTGTGGAACCCTCGGTGTGCGAGTCAGATTCGCACTTTTTGATTTTTTATGTTATAAAGGTTACCAAACATATTATGGACTACCTAATGGTATCTAAGCAGTAACTGTTGCCTATACAGGTATATACAATGTACATAATATATTTTTGCTTGTAAAACCTGGTACTGGTACATCGCTCAACTGAGAAGGTAAAATGCAACCGTCATTTATTTTTGAGTCACTTGATATCCTTTAATGGGCTAAAAGATATACTCAGCTCCATGTCGTTTCGTTGGCAATGTATATATTATGTTTTATAGAGCAATGCGAGGAGTTAAGCTAAAGCTATCACGCTATCTAAAGTCTACCACGCTGATCATATGGGTGTTAGCGTACTTCTCACGTCTTTCAAAAATTAGTTAGGTCCTCTCAGGCATGCAAGGTTCCTTACAATATCTTCCTTTACCGTTATAGCCAGTGGTCATCATTTTGAAAAGTCTCAGATCCGGGAACTGAACCCGTTTCACTCTGTTGCTGTTCGAGACTGAGTATCTTTTATATAGTTTCTTTTTTAAATGTAATGTTTAAAGTAAACCACTATACTATCTTAAGTTTGGCCCTATATTATAATGGAAAAAAATGTGTAATTGTTCAGAGAAAATAATTATTTTTAATTATGAAGTAGGTTTAAAGGCGAATATTTCTTTTTTTCACCCGACTGCACCGAAGCCCAAAGTAGAGTTATTTTATTCTGGAAGTAGAAAGTTTTAAAATAAAGTAAGCGGTATTGCAATAAAAGGCAAAGAAAACATTAATAAATAAAAAGTGTTCATAATAATTATTAGTATATTTTTGACTTCAAAAAGACAATTTTATTTTAATCTAAAAGAATTCACCAAGAAAATTAAAACGCCCAATAAAACAATCAATTTCTTTATTTTGTTCATATAAATTATACATAATACATACAAATATATTCTGTCGGATCAATAGAACTAATATTATAATCACGAAAGTTTGTGTGTATGTATGTGTTTGGATTTGGATATTTAGTACTTATAGTGCACAATTAATATAATATTAACTTGTTAATCTCTCCATTTTGAATTGAATAAAATAAAATTATTTAAATATTTATAATACATCTCATTAGGTCTATCTCACTACCAAATTTTTTATTGCACAAATTGACATTTATCTTTTTTTTAACAATGGTTGCGTTTGACGTCTCTGAATAAAGCTCTTAACAAATAAACTATGAGCCGTTGAAAGGTCAAGGCTGTATATGAATAAAAATAAATATTAGACCTATACATACTTGATTGTTATTGTAAATAAACATATCTTCGATTGTAGTTGATTTAAATTTTTGTAATGGCTGAAATCAAAATGTTCCTAAAGTAATATTTCCTTGCAATTCAGTAAATTAATAAATAATCATGTTTACTACAAAACTTCATAACTGACTCTTTGTTTACTTGTTTGCTTGTGTGGAAATCCGGAGGTCCTGAGTTCGAGTCCCAGTACAGTTATATTAAACTTTTCTGACAGAAATTCTTAAGCATAGAAATAGGCAGTTAGTGTTACACTCAGAGAACATCGTAGACTAGGAGAGTAGTTTGAAGAGCACGTGGAGCTTTCCGCCTGATTCGTCATCGATCGTGTCGATTTGTCACTCCACCGGGCTTTGAGGCTGAATCGAATAGATAATGCACAGGTGTTTGGTCAGACGAGTGTATTGATCGCCGTGACCGAAATCGGTATCAGCGATCTCAGTCATGGGAATATTATTTTATATATTAACTTAATATTAAATTATTAAATGACTATATACCGTTATGATTATTAGGTATTATTATCAATTAATAACTAAATTTATAATATTATGACTTTATTTCCAAAGCAACATTTAATAAAATAAATATGTTGGGACATTAACAGCACCATCTAGTTCCATGGTAAGCTACGAGGCTTGTGTTATTGATACCAGATAGTTAATACACTACACATATTATATAACTTTAAATACATACATATTATTAATACATACTTATTAAAATGGATGTTTAGTCCATGACTGGAGTACAAACATTCGTGCTCATCACACAAATGAATGCCCCCGGCGGGACTCGAACCCGCGACCGCTGGCACAGCAAGTAGGGTAGAGAACAAACAGTGTCAAACACAACACACAAAAGTGTCAAAACGTGTCGTCAATTTAATGTCAGTTAACTTTTGTTTTATCTCATTCATGTGATTATTTTCTCTCTTAAATACTCGTATATTTAATAATTACATTTCAATATATTTTTTAGTACTATAGCACTTCATAGCACCTTATCTGTACGGGAAATATAAAAATAAAATAATATATAAAATAAACATATATATTAACATATGATTTCAATATCAACAACAAAATCTAATCTGAGTAAAAAGGAGCCAGAATCATGAGTTTAAGAATCTATGGTATGATTCTATGAACTCTATAGGTTCGTGTCCATATATTCTTATCCTTTTGAAATTGCAATGAATTATATAGAATAAAAAGAAGGACCAATATTTAACCATTTAATTATTCACAGCTGTTATTTTATTCTATAAACTAATAAAAACATTTAAAAAATTAAAATAAAAACCGACTTCAAAAAAAAGGACTAAAAAGTAAAAAAGAACGGATTTGTAGTTTTCATTTACTATAGATAAATATATTCGAATTCGGTGCCAGCCGATACAAATCAAAGGACACCTTATTTTTAAGTTTTTATTTTTCCCTTTTTAATGTAGACATAGTAGTAGCAAAGTAAGAAGAAAGTATTTTAATTTTTTTATCAAATATTCGCTTAAGCCGTTTAAGTTAGTTTGATGCCAATTTTTATATGAAGACTGACAAACTAAAATTTGCTTTTATTAGTAACACTAAAAATTCTCGCTCTACAATCCGATTCTAACATATTATGCTTGTCAAATCAAACAAAATAAGCCCAAACTCAAAGTATCTACTATTAGCCGTTGCAAAGTTTCAAGTCAATATGACAATTAGCTATTTTTCCACCCTTAGTTAGGGGTGGTATTTGTCCAAATCGGCTAATAAATGACGGAGTTCTGAGGTAACAAACATTAAAAAAAATACAGCCGAATTGAAAACCTCCTCCTTTTCCAAAAAGTCGGTCGAAAACCCGTATAAATATATATTAATAATGTCGTCCTGACGAACAAAACCTCACTGAGACTAGCCATACTCTTAAAAAATGCGCGTCTAGTCGCAAACTCATGCGAACTTACTATTCTACCCTAACTCTCATAGTTAGATTGTAATTCAATTCCACATGACCGAAGAAAAGTATATCACAAAAATGACAATTTCAATTTCAAAGATAAAGGTGCAACAAATAACCTATTTCCCAAAATCTGTGCTGTCACATATATCCATATCCGAGACTCAAATCTCAATATCTGCAACCATATAAATTAGCCTTTCAGACAACAAGACAAGTACATATTTATTTATTTATATAATAAAGTTCACCAGCACTTGCTACAATGCAATTAAAGACATGCAATAAAGTGTATAGGTAATAGTATAAGTAACTATATGGAGGTGCCAAATTATTCATCTTACGTATTATAATTAAATCTATTCTTAGTTAAGGCCTTCCCCCGAGCAAACGATCTTCAACATTCGGCTCCTTCCTTTCCCACCTCACATCTAAAAAATATCGTAATAAATAATAGCGGCATCTATGGAATAACAATTAAAGCACAATATTGCGCATGCCATAAAACACAAACAAAAAATGCACAATCACTCGAAAATTTTCATTGATTTCTGAATATTGGTCCGAAAAAAAATTGAAATTCATCTTTTAAAAAAAAATTAAACTTGTAAAATATGAATTTTAAAATGATCTATCAAATAGCGTTAACCATACTTTTATATAAGTTGTAAGTCATGTGTTGATACAGAGAAAAAGAAAATTTTTCATGATTACAGCAATAATTTTGAATTTTATTTCTTTAGTAGTGAAGACCTAAAAAAAATTATATTAATCGTGTAGTATGACGGCAAAATGTTGAATATAGGTATAATATATTTATTTATCTTCTTATATTTATTGAATACTGACACAATAGCTTCTAAATATCGTCGTAAAACGCGTTTAGCGCAGCTTTTGGGAGGGGATTGCCCTTAACAGAAGAGTTTAGGTACAATTTAAATTTGAAAATTCTTAAACAATTTTCTTATTATTACAAAGTTAAATTACAGTAGAGACTCGATTATCCGGCCCTCGGTTATACGGATTCGCGATTATCCGGACTACCCATGGCGATCAAATAACTTCGGAACTGGCGACCGCCAGTACCCACCCTCGCCCTGCGCGTTCGATGTCGGCGCGTTTTTGTTATAATGACAACAATTAGTCCGGATAATCGAGTTTCCACTGTATTCAATTTTACTTTGTAATAATAAGAAAATGATTTATTTTAAGTATATATTTTAAGTAATTATTTAAGCTATTAAATAATTTTACTGACTCGCCATATCTTTTAAGTAATTTGAACTATAGATGTCCTTCTCTTAAATTTACGCGTAACAAGTCATTGTTTTACATCCCAATAACTATGTAGAACTAAACATTTGCAGAATATTTTCTTGTTACGTTCTTGTAATTTATATTACAAGCAGTTTGATATTGATATAAACCTAGTGATTATAAATAAATTTAAAAAACTCGTAAGAGAAATTGTTAGCCTTTAATGATTATTTTACACTTTGATATTTTTATATTTAAATGTAATGTTTTTTTTTTTCTTTTTTATAAATTTCTTTTTGTCTACTCTATGTGTATGTATGTATGTTTAAATAAGTGGAAACTTTGCTGGTTTGTGTAACATTTTATCTGTTATTTGCCAAATAACATAAAATAAAATAAAAAAATAAAAAAATATGATTAAATGTTAACAGCTTTTAATAATTCTATTACCAAAATTATGAAATGCTACATGTAGCGTGACCATTCATACGTCAATATTTAGGTTTTCATAGTTCTTAATATATTGCCATTCGTTAGACTCGCTAAAACTCGAAAACGACAGGACCGATTTGAATTCTTTTTTTGTTTTGTTGGGGCTGTATCAGGTGGTTTAAATATTAAACAAAATAGGGAAAACAAAAAAAGCAACTGGAAAATCGAGAAGTTCAGAGCTGTTTATTTTGTACGGGAATCACTAACCGTTAAAACGCACCTAGGGACGAACCCGAGCGAAGCGAGGTAAGTCGCTAGTCGCTATCGCTAATTCGTCAGTAGTCGCTAGTAACATTATGAATGTGAAAGTTCGTTTGTTTGTTTGTCTTCATTTCACGTCGAAACAGAGGTGTGTGAGTGATTTTCGTAGTTTAAGTGTTAATATAATATACATTTTACTAAAGAATAACACATTATTGTTTATAAGTTATCATTTAAAAATTGAAAAACAAGTTCTTGGCGTTAGGTACCGCCACCTGCAGTGTCTGTACAGAGAGACCACAGGGGGGCGACGTAAGGAAATATGACTCTAACTATTCCGCTAATTGAACTTTCATAATCAGAAAATGCATGATAATGAAAAATAATTGTTAAACGTATTTCCTCGCCATCCATCATAGATTATCAATTACAAAACTATCAGAGTCAACAAAATCATAAAACGTAAACTTTTAAATTGATTATAAGAAGAAGAAAGAACCAAGGAAAAGATAATTAGATACCTTAACGGTAAGCTACAAATTTAATAACCATTATGTACTTTGCTAACAGACATGCTCTTAGCTCGGGTTGAGTTCATAAAAAAACTGAGACGTCTTCAGAGAGTGGTATCGTGTGCCATCCTCGTATGATGTCAGCCTTCTGCAAATGCTGCACTTCAGAATGCATATAAAACGGACGATCATACACTAGTTACTCATTCGTTAGTTTGTGTTCACGAGGAATACTAAGCATCATGCTCAAATACGTGAGTTTCTAATACTTTTTTTTATTTTAATAATAGTACAGTTCAAAGGTTATATTTGACAGATTTTAATTTAAATGCGCTTTTTACGATTGTGAAAGTATGTCGCAGGTTTTATGTGGTATACCACAGATGGTTAAATTAGTCACAACAATGGAAGCTCATAAAGTTAAGCTATTGCCTATATATATTAAATGGATAAAAACGAGGAAAAATAGTAATACTCTATTAGCACATTAAGTATTTCGTTTAGAAGAAATTAAGAGGGATACCATATAAAAACAATATTTATTTATGTATATTTTCTAGGAATACATAATTAAAGTATATAATAATCCTACAGGTGACAGTCGTTTGTGTACTGGCAGCTCTATGCGCAGGAGCACCGCAAAATCCACAGGATGTACAGATCCTGCGGTTCGACAGCGACGTGCAACCGGACGGATACAGCTTCGCGTAAGAACTCAAAAATGCTTATATTTTACGATTACACACATATTATTATTATACTTTTTCTTACACTTAAAATAATACAGAAATTAAAATATAAAAATTTGTTTACAAAAGTTATCTCCAAAAGAGATCTCGCCAAGCCAACCCATTCTTGTAGAAAGAAATGTTAGGGGAAATAAAGTGCAAGTAAAACATTATATACATAACATATATATATATATATATATATATATATATATATATATATATATATATATATATATATATATATATATATATATATTTATATATACTATTTACATATTTATACTACATTAATATACTACTCAATATATAAAGAATATGCATGTATACAATAACAATAAAAATAATTATTATATTTGTGCAAATAAACGAATAAATTAGCTATAAACAAAAACAAAAGCAGTTAAACTACCGTTTTTCTTTCATTATTCTATGAGGACTAATACAACGGTGGTCAAAGTTTACACAATACGAGTATATACGAGTGTAAAGCAAACCCATACCAGTACCTCTACATCATTTTTAACAATAATAGGAAACCCAACTATTATAAGAAACTTTTGTCACACATGTGTAAAGTAAAAATGGCTTTTTAGCAACAAAGATACACCGACTTCAGAATCACTCTCATCACATTAATTAATTATTCCACTCTTATATGTGGACAACTTTTAAAGGAAAAAATACAAAAATAACAATTAATAAAAATCATCGTTGATCATAATTAATTGAAAATCACGTACATACATACGAGTACCAACAGACAACTGACCACCTTCTTTCTTATGAACTCGGTTAAAAAGTAGCATAATATATCTCCAGCCTTCAAATTATCTTTAAACAAACACACTACCACATTACAAATATTAGTAAGAATACTAATTAGTATTGAAACATTTAACGACTAACAAAATACATAAAAGCTCAGTAATAAACATAATATTTATGGCGATTATTTAAATCGCATCTATTCATTCGAATAAAACAACGATTATCAAACCATATAACTAGTACAAGTTTTATTATGATATTGATAAAACTTGCTTATTATTTGGTTGTTATTTTTATGTCGAAATATAATTTAAATATTATATAAAAATTAAATATTATTTAACCAATTTAAAACCAGGAATATTACTGAAAATTATACATTATCGCAATTATTCAAAAAAGGCGGCAATTTTCTATGCAATTGACACTACGTAGTTAAAACACCGAAAAAAAATATATGGGCGTTACAAACACAACTCCTCTACAAATAAAACTTATGGTGTTCGTATTCTCTTAGTATATTGTACCAATATATTGACCGCACTATAATGATATAGTCAATAAGCAACTTTTCATCAAACTCACATTATATAAGAACAAACAAAAATGAACAAAGATGAAAAGTGACCTATATCTTTGACCTATACAGTATACACTATCTCTATACAAAAATTGCATCTATCCTTAGATCTTTTGCTGAGTGAAAGGAGAACAAACCAACACACTTTCGCATTCATAATATTTGTAATAATAATGATTACTGAACATCCTTGTAACTAAAAGGCTCAATGATTATATATGAAATGACTTGGCTCAAAAATGAATAGCTAATTACATATCTACAAAGGTCAATACAAAAAATATAATATGGAACTATGTAAGAGTAACAAACGTCTGCATGAACTTAATAATGCGATTAAGTTAAATTGAGTACAAGTTATTATTATTTCTCTAACAAATAGATTAATTTTAAATAATAAACTTTTTGTTGGTAATACGAGAATCAATGGTGGTTTTGATATTTGAATAATTTTATAAACACTTGATAAATATTACTATAGTTTGTTTTTCGCCTTTCTATGAGAGAATATAAAACTTTTGAATATAAATATTTGAAACGGAGCAAAAACTTATAATATACCTACAATTAAAATTTGTTATTTAACAGTTATTTTATTTCTAGTTTGGTTCCTTTAACAATTAAAGTTTAATTGTTGTTTGAATTGTTCATTACGTAATTTTTGACCATTTAATTAAATTCAAAATTAACTATACATTCAATTTTCAATAGAAAAACACACGATTATCAAACGTAAAAAAAAAAAACAAAAAAAAACACTATCAAAAATATTATTTTTTGTTATGCAACTAACAATGTGACATTAACCGTATATATGTCACCGTTATTCAAGGGATTTCGCATAGACGGAGATGCTCCCTTTGAACTTTGAGAACATCACGTTTGACCTCTCGTATTTATACTGAGGACGACTCTGTTCATATACTGTAGATAATTCTCTTAAAACAATTAATGTTCATGTCTTGTGATATATAAACTATATAGTTATTTTAAAAATTCTTTATATTCAATTTAAATAAATATTTATATGAAAACTATCTCAAAAATTCTTGTACTTTTACATTTTAATTGATTAAATTACCCTCTTTTATTACAGATATGAGACTAGTGATGGTACATCAAGACAAGAGCAGGGCAAACTCGATAACCCACAGTCAGAAAACGCTGCCCTCACTGTGACTGGCCAGTACTCGTACGTTGCTCCAGATGGCAAGCACTACTCTGTCCAATTCACCGCTGGCCCTGAAGGTTTCCAACCTAAAACCTCACTGGGACAAAAGTAAACCCTTCTTGAATATACTGGTATAGCCCATGACGTGTAAATAGTTATCTTGGTATGTACCAGAGATTCTGTATTAACTTAACCGTTAAAAATAACAAAATACTCGATCTCAAACAATGCGTATCGCACAAGCATGGATGAGAATCACTTTATCTTACTAGTGCCATAGGATATCTTTTGTATTTTTACTTCTTGTAACAAATCTTCTTGAAATAAATATTTCATAATAATTTATGTTTTCATTTTGTGTCCGTGCATTTCAAACGTATGAAATCTATTAATATTTTAAGTAATAATACGTGATGTATCGACTTGACCTTTGATCGACTATATAATAATATACTTTAATAGCTGAAGTGGAATTACCTAAGTAAATAAAATAAGCTACGTTGTAATTTTTAAAACTTATTTACTATTTTATTTATATCGTAAGCTTAATAGTAACTATGAATTAATAACAGAATTGCGTTCCAAAAGTTTCATATAATATCTATTATTATTTTAATCATATTATAGTATAAATGTAGTACTGTAAGCTCTTGATGTATTCTGTAATGTGTACATTAAATATTTTTTGGAAAATCTTATTGAAATATACATTATTACCGATACAGAGGCCGAATCTATAGATTTAGAATTTTTGTCTGTCTGTCTGTTACCGCATCACGGAAAAACCACTGGAGGGATTTTGATGAAATTTGGTATGGTTATAGCTGGTCTTCCAAGTCAACATATAGGATACTTTTTACCACGAGAAAATGTGTCATTTCTGAGAAAAAATACAAAAACAGCAATGTAAGAGTATACTAAAATGTAAAACCTAAGAATTTGGTTTTTGGTCATCTGAACGCGGGCGGAGCCGCGGGCAATGCTAGTATTTAATAATGTTGACTCGAAATTCATCGATCTTGAAGGAAAATAAATATTAAGTAAAAGAAAAAACATCAGTATTATGTATTATCTGTTTTACATCATAGAAATAACGGATAAATGTCAGTGAACATTATTTAAGTACATAGAAGTGTGAACAATAGAACATCATGGCGTAAGGACGAGTTACATAAAACAATTCTTACATAATATAAGAAAAATAAAATACATAGAGAGAAATATATAGCTAAACATATACGACAACATAAAATATACATTATAACAGCTATTTATAAAAACAAATCCTTGTTTATAAACATAATCGCTCAAGTATACTTGATATTGTACATTTTAATAAAAAATTAACCATCTTTGTTTTAAACATGAGGAGTTATAAAGTATTCAATTCATTCATTAAGGATCTATAGATACAAAATTATATGTGTTTATGTGAAACGTATATATTTCTTAACCATTAGTCCAATAGCGATGAAACTTTGATGAGGTGATGAAGATTTCTAACAAAAAAAAATAGATGGACGATAGCAGCACGATAAGACAAATAGCATTCGAGTTGTATTACATACTTTGAGAATTACTCTCAATATCTGTATCTGAATACACAAAATACTGTCAAGTACTGTAATAAATACTCGGAATTAAGTAGATACGAGTTTGTGCATAATATGTGTCCTGCATCTGGAAGTCGAAGAAGACGAAGTCAGGACGAGTCTAGTTAAACTTTGTATGTCATTATTAAAGATTGTCACGTTTATCCTCTGACGTATTTGTTTGTATAATAAATAAATAAAAACCCAGTATAGCTATAAAAGGGCAATATATATCAAAATAAAATAACTATGTGGTTAATGAAATAAATTATGATATTTAAATAAAAACTGAATAAAAGGGAGAGGGCAAGGTAATACCACATCAAATTATCTTATGAAAACTACTACCTAAAACAAAATGGAGTTTAATACTTAGCTAATTAAAATGTCTTATGTGATATTTAAAAAAGACCTTTAAAATACAATATAACAATGTTTATGTCTTATTGAAAAGGTCGAAGTATATTATGCCTGCACATATACTGCCGATGGTTTCAGATATTTAAAAGTCAGTATGTCATCAATTAAACCTTAACTTTTCGAGATGAATACGTCATATATATATAAATATATATATATATATATATATATATATATATATGAGTGTATAGGTGACAATTATAAATAACCTAGCTAGTCAAGACTTCATTTTGCACTTTACGTAATTTATTTATAGCTCAAGTGAATAAGTACGCAAGCTAAAGAGGCGAGAGTAATTATCTTATTTGGCATTGAATCGAAGAAATTGTTAATATTTCACTATTTGCCACTTATCGAATACTATTTTATCTTATAATTTAAAATAACAAAAATTTCAAGTGAATTCAATGACAGTCCGCCACTACTAACACACGCTCAAACGTACTCGATCACTCTCAGTGACTCCAACGACTCTGTACATAAGGATGGTTATTTTTGATTACTAAATGCGAAATTTTTAGGTAACTATTTACATATTTATATTGTTTAATAATCAAAGTCATGATCTCATACATTTTTAAAACTGTGAGTAATAATTATTACCTAAGAAAAAACGTAATTTTTAAGTATTACTTTACTATGTACTTTGTATTAACGCGTAAGAACGAAAGAAAAAATATAATATTCATGTAAGAAAATAATTCTAAACATTGCAGTCACATACTAAAAACAGCATTCAATAACACTATTTACACTTTAACTATAATGCATTAGTGTTAGAAATTTCACACAGCAAATATTTCGTAAACAACAAAATGTCAATCCATGTAGTGAAGGCTCTACGAATAACGTTAAACAATTCATATTTTCACACAAATCTTTGACCTTCAATATGCATTTTAAGTATGCGATTTTATTATAATTCACCAAATTATTTCACCAAAAAATAAAATATAATACAATTATTATAAACTTTTTATTACATAGGGTTAATTTATATTTTATCAAATGTTAATAATACATAAGAAATATAAAATACAAAAAAGGACTGTGTGATTTGTGATCATTTTTCACGTATTAATTAATATAAATTATAAATTATAAATTTAACAGCTGTAGAGACGTTCAAGTCGTTGATGTCTTTTATATGTATCAAGCTTTTTCGTAATTACTGTCTATGTAGACAAATATGTTAACTATAATAAAAAATTAACTCACATAAAATGATAAAAGAATTGATTACTTTAGTAATATTTATTTGTTTTCTAAGTAATAAATACTTGAGATTTTGGAGGTGACTGTGATTCAAGGGCTTTAGAAAAATGATTTCCCTGTGCATTGTTACCATCAAAACCATCAAAGCTAGGTGTATACGATACAGTATGTTATATGATAATATACGCTTTGCCATATTTACCGATGTAGAAACCTTCGTATTAAGAAATGATTATGAAGCTAAAGCTTTCTGATAAGCATGAGACGACCACATTTTATTACTATGGTCCCTTCTGCGATGACGTAACGTACGGCGTACTGGCAAAAGCCGTACCACAGATCATATAATACTATACTTAGCTGTATACATGTTCTTTGGCTGATAGTACTTGTCAGCCTACTGATGATGGCTATTTTTTAACCTAACACGATGTAAAGAGACGATCCTACAAATTAAAAAAATCATGATGATTAATATTTATAAAAATCTAGCTTTTGACAACGGCCGATTATTTTACAAATATATTAAGGTATTTTATGTGATGATGTGATGTGATGATGTTCTCCTGACCGATTCCGGCCACGGCGGCCAATCTCATTGAGACTAGCCAACTGCGCAGGAGATATTATAGTGCTCAAGTGTACGCGCAAACACAAGTGCACTCTCTATTCCTGTCACTCTCATACTCCGGTGGGACGACTGCTCGACACGACCAGTGAGAGTTAAGGCGCAGGACCGACGGCTTTACGTGCTCTCCGAGGCACGGGGGTGAAACACCGCCAACTTCCCAACTCCGGGCTATTACTGAGGCTTACTATACAGCAAGACTCAGTAACTAAACTTGGCCCGACCCGGGACTCGAACCCAGGACCTCCGGGTGTGCAGCCGTACATGCTAGCCATTACACCACCGAGGCAGTTATTTTTATATATATATATGTATAGGTATTTTATAATACCTACTTAACTAAGCGGTTTAGATGTAACAGACAGAAAGAACTACTTTCACATTTATAATATTATCATAGATTTTCCATTTTGGCTAAGCTAACTTCGACGGATAATTTGGGAAATCTGATCACCGGCATAATAATATACTAAAATAATAAGTACATATTTTTATGTCATATTTAATAATAATGACTATGAAAACCCCTAATAATAACTTCGAAATATTTTTGAATAGTTGCACGTTATTTTTACATATATAAGTGAAATTGTTAAATATATAAAACATACTAAGCTTTTAGACAATTTTCTAAATCATAAGCAATACCAACAAAGTGTACGTCGAAAAAAGAAAACGGGATTATAATTTTGTCTTTTTATATCCCGCAAGAAAGTAAATTTTTAAATTATGTTAGCCTTACTTATTCTTAGAAATGTTAAATTAATTAGGCAATATTATCTTTTGATCAAATTATATGCTTTCTAGTCAGGCGCCAATTTACGTCATTTTAATTTAATATGAAAAATATAAAACAAAGTCGGGTTTATTACAATACTTATAACTCAAGAACTGCTGGACCGATTTTTATGATCTTTTATTTGTTGGATAAGTCTTCACCCCGATTAGCAGAATAACTATGAAAAAATCACGGATTAAAAATATTCCGTACGGTCGTAAAACTTTTGCCAAATCTTATCAGCATTACTGGAGATGTACTGCGCCGATCCCAAGTGAATGGATGATGACTAGCGTCAAAACGTACCTAGGAGTCGCTAGTATTAAAAATATTTCTTACATTTTTTACTGTAGGAAATGTATTCTAATCGCTATCTTCATTGATGTCCGAAGTAATAAAACTATTTTTGGCATAACATGAGGAGCAGAATCATGAAATCTTGCTTTATCCTAAAGTGAACGCCTGTTTATTTTACT